TTTTAAGAAATCAAGGATCTCAGTTTAAATCTGATCTTGCATACAGATAACACATGTTTACGTAAAGTATTGCTGAATCTGCTAAATGTTTAGAGAAGATTACGAGCTTTGGCGAGGACTTATTCACGTTCCTGTAAGTAACACTTTAGTACAACAGTCAAATGTAAGACATTCTTGCTATTAGAGGAAGGGTATCTCTTACACATCTCCTATATTCTGCCCAGTTAAACAGTTCATCCCTCTGACTCTTCCCTCAGTTGGCCCCCTGGCTTCTGTAGTCTCTTCCCTGTCTTGCATTTCTTTCTGTGTGTCCATACAGTCCATATGCCATGCATTGGTGGCTAGCGGGATGGAATGTGCAATCAACACGAAGGTGCCGATATGTGTTTGTCCCTTCCCCAAATTCATGTGTTGAGATCCTAACATTAGCGGTGATGAGGCCTTTGGGAGGTAGGTAGGTCATGAGCAAATATTTCATCTTTGTTCTTATGAGGCTGATGTCAAGAAACAATATTTCTTTCCCACATTTTAATACCAAAGAGCCACGGTGTGGAAGAGGAAATGTATTTTAGGGCTCCAAACCTTTTGTTTTGCACCAAGGAAATGATGGCTCAGAGATTTATAGGACCAGTGCAGAGCAACAGATACATTTTTTCTTTCCAATCCTTACAATCTTTCCAAGTACATATTGTCTGTGAGAAGAGAAAAGTGACAGTGAGATATGAGGATCCTCAACCTCTCTTCCTACCAACCCCAGCTGGGGAAAGCATAGGAAAAGTCCTAGGCTTTCACTGAGTTGGAATGGAGTAATAAGTGACAGGACAGATTGCCTAGGTCCAAAGTCTGCATGGTCGGTATTCCCTGGAAAGGGCTGTAGGCTCCACCTTACTGATAGAGGAGAAAAGATAAATCTAGGCTGTGAGAGAAGAAGAGGAGAAAAGACTGTGTTCAGATAATTTAAAGAGATTTAAAAACTTAGAGCGGAAGAAGAAGGAAATTTTGGAGATAAATACACAGAAAGGGGGGTAAGGAGAATTGTAAACATCTCTTTAAGTCTCTTCGGTATTTTTGAGAGGTTTCAATACATATTTGAATTGACTTTCAATTGCATGTTGGACGGGATGACAAACTAGCGAGTGGTGAGTTACAAAGTAGGCCCACTTTGTGTGGCTCATACTCCACATTTTAAAGTAAAGATGGTGGAACTTTGTAGGCTAAAAATCTTGAAGTAAAGCGGTGAATTTACATTTACATGCATATATATATATATATACTTTTGTACTTATCAGCTCAGCTAATTGATTTTTTAAAAGTTTGTTATTTCACGATACCTACTTTTTCATATTGCTAGAAATAAAAGTACAAAAGTACTATACATATATGCACACACACATACACACATATAATGTATATATTTGCATGTATGTTTTTCATAGAAAGTGAAAACAGAAAAATAAAAACAGAAAAAAGAAAGAAATTTGTACTTTTATTTCTAGCAATATGAAAGAGAAGATATCCTGAAATAACAAACTATAAAAAGATCAATTAGCTTAGCTGATAAGAAGTTAGAGATCTCTTAGAATCTAAAAATATTGAACAAAGAAAAAGAAATGGAAAATCTAAATAGTTTCATTGCCATAAGACTAATTGATTCCATCTTTTAAAAGTCTTTCTCAAAGACAACAGGTCCAGATGATTTTACAGATAATACTTGCCAAATATTTAAGGTTTAGAAAATTGCAGTAATAAATTCTGCAGGGAATGAAACTGGAAGACGTGGTCCTCAGTCACTTTCTGAAGGTGAAATAGCTATGCTGCCAGGGCCAGGTGATGCCAACAGTGAAAAGATAATTATACCACATTTATAAATATTTTCCAGGAATTACAAATAAAATATTATCCAACTAAATAAACGGAGGTATTTCATGACCAAGTTTGGACCATCTGAAGAGAGCAAATTTGGTTCAATGTTAGAAAATCTTTGCATGTAATTTACTAACATGACGAGTTTAAAGGAAGGTGGGCGTGGTAGTGCAGGCCTGTAATCCCAGCACTCTGAGAGGCTGAGCTAGGAGGATTGCAAACTTGAGCCCAACCTTTGCAATTTACTAATTTAGTGAGGACTTGGCTCCAATATATGTATTTACATATATTATTTATATACCACATATTTATATATTGTTTATATATGACATATATGATATATTATATATTTAAATTATTTAAATACCATACATAAATTATATATATAATATATATTTTTAAGACATAATGGGTTCAGTCCCCAGTATCACACATGAAAAAGTTCAAAAAGAGAAACTATATAAATATTGCACTTGATGCAGAAAAAGTCCTTGTGATTGGCTGATGCTTTCCCGTCCATTTTTACTGCATTACCCATGACTCCCATGGACAGGATTGTGGTGCTGTCCTCCTGACTTTGGGCTTGACCGTGCTTGTCCTTCATATTGGCCACTGTTCTAGCCTGAGTCCATGAATGAGAAGATACATAGAGGCTAGTAGAGGCCAGCAAAACAGAAGAATTGCAGCTGTCACAGCTGTAATCTAATACAAGCAAAAAAATTGTGTGAACTGTTATGGAAAAGCTTCTTTTAGGAGGGGATCGATTGAGACAGGGTCTTATTATGTAGTCCAGATTGGCCTTTAACTCTCTATGTAGCCCAGGCTGGTCTTGAACTGGGTCTCCTTGTGCCTCAGCCTCCCTAGTGCTCATAGTACAAGCACAAGCCACCAGTCCCAGCTGGGGGAAAAGCTTGTTAATAAATACACTGGTGATATGAGTATCTTATAAAGAAAACCCCAAAGAAGCTACAGCTGAAGTATTAAAATGAATGAGAGCCTAGCAGCGTTCAAAATCGCCTTTCTATTTGTATTTTTAATCCCCAGGAGCAAACTGTTCAGAATACAATTTAAAATGCTGTTTATAATAATATTAAATATGTTAGCTAGAAAAAGGTAAAAACATATATGCAAAACCTCTATGAAGAAAATTATATGTCCTTATTGAGGGACACTTTAAAAGTTTTTTTTTTTCATAAAAGGAGACAATTGTATTTATAAACAGGAAAACTCAATATTATATAAATGTCGATTCTTCCCAAATTGATCCAGGGGTTCTAATCAATTCCAATAAACAGTCCATCATCTTTAGTCATAGGATTTGATAAATTTTCTAAAATTTCTTTTGTTTAACAAATGGTCAAGAATAACCAAGGTAAGCCGGGTGTGGTAGTGCATGCCTGTAATCCCAGCACTCGGGAGGCTGAGGCAGGAGGATTGTTGCGAGTTCGAGATTAGCCTGGGTTATAAAGTGAGCTCAAGGCCAGCCTGAACTGCATAGTGAGACCCTTTCTCAAAAACGACAAAAAAAAAAAAAAAAAAAAAGGAATAACCAAGGTAATCATGAAGCTATGCTGAGGACAGCGTATCTATTTGTACTTCTCTTTTGAGCTTGAGGCTTGTGTCCTGTGACCTAGCCTTTGTACAATGTAATGTACACAGATATTAGTATTTCCATTTATATACATAACATTTATGTAGAAATTTCAAATTTAGTATGACATAAAATTAAATTACCATGGTTATTTCAAGGCTACTACTTCTCACCCCCCACTTTTTATTTTTTATTAGTCTATGTTTGCAGTACGTAATGATCACATTCTTGGTGTGGAGTTGGTCCATGTACAAAACACACCTCAATTCTTTTTCCACCCATTTCCCTCCCTTCCCTACATCTCTTGATTCCCCTTCCCATTGGAAAAAATCAAGTCCCTACTTCTTATTATCTGTCTTTTATTTTGCTTCTTCTATATTCCTTCAGCTGCTGGGTGGCCCTACCATCTTCCCAGGCGTCACAGCTAGAAGTTTGGGGGTCATCGAGTGCTCATTCTTTTTCCCGCATATGTATCTACCCAGGCACTCACCCACTCCCCATTACTACTGCCATTGCCGTAGTTGCTGTTTGAAAAATTAATTTAATTGGCACAGTTCAGATACACATAATGATCACATTCATTATAGGGAATTTGCACCTGTACATGACATATCTTCATTCTTCTTATCAGACTATTGAAATGAATTTGTAAATATGCTTCTCCTGCCTTACCAAATTATCTTTCATAGAATGGTCTTTTGTTTTGTTTTTATTTTTTGCTTTTATTAATACATGTTTGCAACACATAATGATTACATTCCTCACGGGAAGGTGGTCCATGCACATGACACTTAATCTTAATTCTTTCTTCATCTCCTTCCCCTCCCTCCCTCCCCTATCCTCCCATCTCTTGGTATCCTTCTATTTGCATAGAGTGATCTTCCAAAATCTGATTATTTCAACCCCTGATTAAAACCCATCACCTTCAGGATAAGATACAAATGTCTAAGATTTGCCCTCTGTCCCTCTGCCCGTCTTTCATCACAATTCCAGGCGCCTCTTTTCCCCCAGTAGAGTAGTTCCCTTGCACTTCTTCAAGCCTGCAACGCTGTCTTGCTGCTGTTCTCCCTGAAATACCCCTTCCTTTTCCTTTTCTTCCCTACGTGTACTTGAAGACCCAGCTCAAATGCCACCTCCCTAGGAGCACCTCCCAGGATCCCACCCATTCTCATATGTGTAATGTTGTCCTCCTCCTGACACTTAGGCTCACACTGCAAGAATCAATTTTCTGGTCTGTTCCGCCATGCTACTATGAATCCATTCAGGGTACAGACTGATCGTGTTTGTATTTGATTATTTATATCTTAGATGATCATGGAATGTTTGTCCACTCTAGGCTCTTCTCATATAATGTCAACTCTAATATAAACAGTGAATCTTCATATGTGCACATATAAGGGGTTCTTTCTTAAAGCAATTTTCATTGCAAAACTTTCCTCACTGATTATGGAGTTTTCAATGAGTTTTTCTAGATTTGTTCATGAATATAGCCCTCTAGCGTGGCTCACAAGGCATGTCTAACAGCTGAATGTTATTTTTATTTTAGTTAAAAAATCTGGATCCATTTTTACTGTTTGATGAATTCAAAGGAGGTAGACCAGGAGGATTTCCTGATCATCCACATCGAGGTTTTGAAACAGTAAGTGTAATAATTTGAAGTGTATATTTTAAAACTTGTATTTTTTTTTGAGACAGAGTCTCACCATGTAGTTCAGACTAGCCTTGAATGCACTGTGTAGCCCAGGCTAACCTCAAACTTCAGCGACCCTCCTGCCTCAGGCTCCCAAGGGCTGGGATTAGAAGCCTGTGCCACCACGCTTAGGAAAACTTGATTCTTAACTCTAATACAAAATTCAATTTTAGAAGCAATGAATAAATAATAGGCTGAAATTAATATGTTCATTTCTAGCTACAGACTGTCTGCTATAGAATTGTAATACCGGTTTTACCTGAAGTACACTCAAATTTAAATATTTACTCTTTTTAATAGTCTTTGAATTTCTGCCACTGGAGACATTCCAATTTGAGCAGTTAATAAAGAGAGGAATTGGCTTCTTAAAATATTTTTATAATTAAAATAATTTACTAGGGATCAAAGAAACAAATATTTTATATAGAAAATTGTTTCTCTGCAAGAATATTCAGAAATGTTTAAGCCTGTGTAATAGTATAAACCTCAAAAGACAATCCAAGAACTCAACAAATATTTATGGTAAATTCCAAGAAATTATAGAGTCAAGGGACAAAAATACAATAGAACCTAAACATGAGAATTTTTAAATACATACTTATGCATTTACAAGTTTAATTGCCAAATGTGGAGATTCTGCTAAATACTTAATGTTTAGTTTTAGTTAAATATGGAAATAAAATGTGTCATATAAGATTGTGGCACTTTCAGTGATTCTCTTCTCCACAGTTACTTCCTGTTATAACGTTTAACCATTTGTTCCATGAGAACAGCCTGTATTCTCAGTAAACAGTCCAGGCCTGTTAAAGGCTTAGTGTGTTTGTAAAGCCAATAGTGGGTGGGTAAATATTTACTGAAGGTGGGCGAGACACAGGCATTGGTGTAGGGTGACCTTTCGTACTGGATGTGTGTTGTGTGTCGAGAGTGTTGGAAGGAGTGAGGGTGTGAGATTAAAGAAGGAAGCGTGATCCCTGCTTGTCTTTGTATGTAGTCTAGTCAAGGAGGGGAGCCATGGACGGGGAAAGGGTTAACCACCACAGCGTGAAGGTCGAATAAACCAAGAAGTTTCTAGAAACAGGATTAGGGTGGCTGGACCTGTCTTCCTTTTCCGTTTAGCCATTTGTCTTCCAGTTAACACATCGGCAGACACTCTACCTTCCCTACACCTGAGCTGGTTCCCTCATGACTCACAGAACATGTCTTTCCATGGCTCCAGGTTACCATCTTTCTCATTCTTGAAGATTCTTTCAAATATCATTATCTCTGTCAACTTTTCCAGACAGTCCCAAAAGGATACTTTCTCTCACCTTTGATCCCCATAGCATAATTTTTTTTACCAGTTGCATGTATGTTGTACCATTATGGTGGCCTTCATCATATTCTCTCTGGGTTGTATTAGAGTTGGGAATTGTCTCAGCCTCCCTTCCTGTCACCCATGGGGACTGTCTGTAAATTGAATAATGAACAGAGGTGGTTATTGCTGAAGACACTGAATATATTCAATAAACTGAAGGATGAATCCTATTGCTTGCACTTCCATTATGGAAAGTGCCTTCTGGGCGGGGTGCTTTTATAAATCGTGAGGTGCTCGACTTTAAACAGTGCTCTGACGAAGTTCAGCTGCAAAATATTGATGTTTGGCCCTTTCTTTTTGATTAAGGACTTTCCTTGAACCTTAGCTGTGATTACAGTTGATCCTTATTATTTGCGGGTTCTGTATTTATGAATTCATCTACTTTGAAAACTTGCTGGTAACTCCCAAATCAGTACCGTGGAGTTTTCCTGGTAACTCGTGGACATTTGCAGAGTGGAAGAAAATTTTAATTGTCCAATTTTTGTGATCCCCGTTGGAACAAGCGATGCTCTGCTTTATTGCTTTGGCTATCATAACATAACCAACTGTCCTTTCACAGTTTTAGTGCCACATTTCTTACATTTGTGTGTTTGTTTTGTTGACAATTTCATGATTTCAAAGGACTCCCAAGCATAGTACAGTAGTGCCATCTAGTATTTCTAAGCCCAATAGGGCTGTTAATGTGCCTTTTCTCACAGAGAAAATATGTATATTCAGTAAACTTTGTTCAGGTGTAAGTTGCAGGGCTTTTTAATTTGGTTCTCTTTCAGGCTGAGTTCACTGTTAATTAATCAAAAGTATGTATTACGTAAGGTGTCACTGAACAGAAATACACAGAAGACAGGTTGACAAAAATATGATTAGAGGTTTGAAGGAACCTTATGCTGTATTTCTCCTTCCTTCCTTCCTTCCTTCCTTCCTTCCTTCCTTCCTTCCTTCCTTCCTTCCTTCCTTCCTCTCTTTCATTTTGGTTTCTCCTTTCTTTTTCTTTCTTTTCTATTTCTTTCTCTATCCTCTTTTTCTTTCCCTTCTTTCTACTTGCCTTTTTCTTTTTCCCTCCCTCCCTCCCTTCTTGCCTGCCTGCCTCTTGCACACTAAGCCTAGGGCTCTACCACTGAGCTATAGCCCAGCCTTTGGGTCCCATATTCCTCTGGGAGCAGCGGTTCCATATTCACTAATTCAGTGATCACAGCACTACTCTGTAGAACGTAACTACCTTGAATCATGAGAAATGACTGTATCCACTTTCCCTAGGAGTGTAAATCAGCCAGGGGCTCAACTGTGTCTTAATGTGAACTTCAAAACCTCAGTTTAAAGCCAAGTCCACCTGTATGCTCTCATCACCTCTTCTCCAGAGCATTATCTAATTACACTAGTGTAAAGGACAAATTAGTATCACTTCTTAGGTTACCATCCACAAGCAGCTTTACTTATACTTCGCTGTATTTTCTTCCTGTACTTTTTTTTTTCTGGTATCGTGTTATATATGTCTTCTTAACCTAATATTATACTGCTAGCATTTTCTCATTATTCTTCAAAAATTAATTTATAATGACCTCATTAAGCACCTGTCATGATGATTATAACAATCGACATTACCACAGCGATGTATGAAGGTACCTGTTTCCCTCAACATCGCCAACACAGTATATTTACTTGCATTTTAAATTTTTACCATTTTGAAAAGTGAGAAAGAATGCCTCATGGTAGTTTTAATTTATGTTTCTCTTATCCGGGTGTGGTTGATTTTCTTTTCGTTTTAAAAGATTTGTTCATCATAGATATATTTTTGGCTTATTTTTTTCTATTATGCTATGTTTTCAATAGTGTGTGAACGCACTATAAGTACATCTTTTTCAAGCTACACTCCAGTTGGACAGGGCTGGTTCTTATTGCTGCCATTCTTACTGCTTGAAAGGAATTTTTTATATGTTAAGTAAGTTGGACCCTTTTTAGCGATAGGAGATGCCACAGTGAGAAGAAATATTAAAGCTGGGCATAGTGGTGCATGCCCATAATTCTAGCACCTTTGGGAGGCTTAGCCAGGGGAATCTCAAGTCCAAGCCCACCCTGGGCAATTTAGGGACTTAGCAAGATGCTGCCTTCGAAAAAAGAGGCTATGGGTACAGCTTTGTGTGAAGGCCTTGGGTTCAATCCCCAGCACTGCAAAAATTTTTTTTCATACTTCTAAACACACATAGACACAAAACAATAGATCCAATATGCTTCTTGCATTAGCATGAGTTTCTTATGCCCACAGGCTTCACTGCATATTTCCATAACAGGGGTGTTATCAGAATCAGTGATTCTGGAAATAGTGCTGTTCTGGAGTTCATGTTTTTTTTCTAAATAAACATGAAATTATGCTGTACTAACACTTTAGTATAAATTATAACTAAATTTTAAAACGTGCTTAATTTACAAAATCTTATAGTGCTATGTGATCAAAGAAATGTGGAGAGTATTATTCTACAGGATTCTTATTATTGCAGTGTGTGGCTCATGAACCAGCAGCATCTACTGGAATGTTCACCTTTCACCCCAGAACTACTGAACCAGAATCTGCATTCCAATATCATTGACTAGTGATTAACATGTGCAGTAAAATCTGAGAAATATTGGTCTAAATGACTTTCCGAATCAGAAATACTAGGTTTCCATGGGTAAGAACCAGAGTCTCATTTTACTGAGTTAATGTCGGATATTGTTAAACTCTTAGGTTTGGATAGCTCTGTATTCTCTGTCAGAAACTTGCCTGCCAATAGCAGAAGGTATACCTGCAGCTGGTAGTTGCAAGACAAAGGGAAGAGACATGCTTTCAGGATGTCCTTCCCAGAGTTTAGACTCTGGGAAGGACTGTTTTCAAAAGGCCTGAACAGTAAGTTATGGGTAGGATAATTTTGCAGTTGCCCTACACCCAGTCAGGCCTGATATACTTTATTTAGAGCAGTTAAAATGACCAGAAACAATCTGAAAAATGGGCAAGCCCCGCCAAAGTTTAGTTTAGTTCCAAAAAGGGTGCTGATAGTTCACACACTGCTGGTGAAAAAACCTTTGCCTACGCTGGGGAGAAGCATATTTTGTGCTCTTAAGAAAATCACCTTTAAATTATGACCTTGAGCCTTTCAGGATTTCACACCAAAAGTCTTCATGTCCTCAGGTGCCCCTCAGTCCTGGGTAAACTGAAATGGTCGGTCACTCCTGCTTTATGAAAGAGCTGTGTGGAGTAAACCATCATACCTACATCACGGGGACAGTTTAGGATGGCCTTGTCCATTACGTGTGTAGGCTGAGTGAGAAGTGATTTTTTAAAAATTTTCACTACAAGCCTCAGCAGGTTCTTTGATTTTCCTTAGGAAAACAAAACCACCCTATGTCCAAGGGTGTGCCCTTCATAAAAGCCATACTCATAATTCCTGGTGGGTAGCCAGCAGCATTTGCAGGCAAAGCCTGAACTATATCCTGCAGAGGAAAAGAAGGCCCTAGTGATTCACGCTTAAAATTTACTACCATATTCAGACCGCCTGTCGCCCACACTACCTGTTTCTACTAGTTCGATCTGGGCCATTTTTAAAAGCAAACCATGCCAAGAGAG